ATTAGTATTGAAGTGTAAGACAAAAGAGATTTAATACGTTAGGTCATGATTGCAGCTAGTAGTATAATACTATTATATGAATAATATTATTATTATATAATAAATAGCGATATGTTTTAAAAACAATTAGATAATAATCTAATTTATAATTTCCTTATTAATACAAATCATGACAAAAAGGCTAATGTCAGATTGCAGTTTTATGGGGTCGCCTAGGTAAATTTTCAATAACTCATTAATATTATAAATAGAATATAAAATGTACATCCCTCCCTAAAGACAAAAATCTATCAACGCCACAGCCTATAACAATAATCATAACTTGCAAGATATATACAACTGAGTTATATCCATGCAACTATGCATATAAATATATAATATTGTATTTATAATGTTAATAATATGCCTATAGTTATGACCTATAAGTTATGAGTCATGTTTTATAGTTGGTATATAAAAGTATAATAGTTCATACTTTTGGAAATTCTGGTTGACTATTGGGTAATATACATTATAATACAGACATTTTAAATATTTTAAAAACTTGTCACCATTTTTATTAGTCGTTATATTTTTACTTTACGGCCACGATCTCTATGAATTATGATTCACAACGATATTAAATGTGTAATAAACTCACAATATTATTTGAACTTAAATACGATACCTATCACCATTGAAGTAATGAAGTATTGCACATTTCACATTTGTGCCTATACAAACACCTAATAAATAAATAATGACATTTTTTACGTCCTTAAGTTATTTTTCTTTACACCAGTCGTTGAATTATTTATATCGGGTTCGTCGTTTGCTACTTTTATCGATATACATTATACACTAATTCAGTTAGCATTTTATAAATATTAGATATTATTATGCATGTATTATGTAACGTATCGTTTTTAAAGTTTCCAAGCATTTATAATATAAGTATTGCCTCTCCTATAGGCTATAGTCCTATACTTATCGTCTATTATACATTCATATCTGCAGAGTATAACTGGATAAGACTTTAATATATTAAATTTATAATTTATTACTTTTTAAAATATTATATGGACAGTAGTTTAGTGTTCCAACCGACGGTTAGTCGACCTGGGCAACTGCTTCCACTCCCCCTTCATAACATTAACATGCGAAGGTACATCATTTTGAGCTTGTATTTTGTTCAGAAATTATCATGAGTTTGTGGAAATAAACTATTGATATTTATATGCTATTTCCTAATACCAAAACAATATATAACGGATATAATGTATATTTGATATAGACAGACATAAAGACCAAAAGAGTCTCTAAAAAGATTCTAAAAAAAATATAAATAGTTCATGTACTTATATATTTTTATCATTATATATTCATTGTCAAATAGGTAAATTAAATATCAAATAAAGGTTTACTATATGCACTAAAATATGGAATAACTCAGGGATAAAATATTTCAATATTGCATTCTTAAGAGGACGCCACACCCGCATGTGTTGTTTCCGTCTTACTAAAGAACAACATAGCAAAAACTGTTTTGCGCGGGACAACCTTTACTTTCTGTGTTTGTAGTAGTGGCTCCAAAATTTCTGAACATATCGAGTAGAAAATTATCTATGCAACAGTGTGCCTATATTGTAGATAACATAAATACAATAAAAGTTATTTGCTTCTAAACATTTTGTTTTTTTGTTTTTTTCATTTGCTTATAAAAAATGATTGGAAAGTGTAATTAAAAAAAAAGCACGCTGTTGCACAGATTAAAGTTCTTATTTACGTGTTGTGAAAATTTGGTAATTCTACAACAAATATGGTGCGAGAAAAGTTGTCCCGCGCTAAACAGTTTTTGCTATGTTGTACATTTGTAAGACGGAGACAGCACATGCGGGTGTGGCGTCCTCTTAATGAATAATACCAGAAATTTCATTATTTTAATATAATGTTCGCATGTCTGTTTGCTTCTTTAAATTATTTATTTATCGTCCATTGAATACATTTTTGCACTCAGTTTTCATCTAAAAATATTTAATCAACGTATGAAGTTGGAATATAGTTAGGTACTTTTAAATAATAATAATATTGCACATTTGCACCCCTAGCAGGGCCGGATTAAGGTTTTTGCCGCCCATAGGCTGAAATAAATTTACCGCTTAATTTACATAGGTATTGATATTTTACTAATATCTCTACGTAGTTTTTGGGTCACACCAAAAAAAAAAATTGCCGCCCTAGGCTGTAGCCTACACAGCCTAAGCGGTAATACGGCCCTGACCCCTAGGTATATATTATTACCTATATACCATTATAAATTATAATAGTACATCTGTAATGTATACATTATTGAATATTATACTATTTATACGTCATATAAGTAGTGCCAAACTCATAACGCGATCGCTTCACTTCTTAAATTATTTATATGATGGCTGGAAGGTTGTGGTTGGTGGATTGATGGGTGGATGGTAGGATAGCAATTTTAGATTTCGATTCACAAAAAAATTTGTATTTGAACCACTGCGTCATGTAGGTATTAGCCAGTATCTACTAGGTATAGGTACCCATAAATGTGATATAAAATAGTTACCAATACCTTATAACTAAATGCCAAGTAATGGTTTTAGAAAACTATCATATACAAGGAAGTCCCGGATGAACACTGAACAGTGTCCGGCGGAATCGATGTGTAGATATTATTATAAACAGTAGCCGGCGTAGCCGATACAAAATTGGTGGAATCGATATACGCCCCTATTAGAAATACTACCTATGTTTCATAGGTATATGAAAAAAAAGCTGGTGAGTGGATGTCGCTCTGTTGCGAAGTAGGTACAAGTGGGTCACTGTAATGGATGGTGTTAAATTTTAATTCAATGATATAAAATCATTGTTTACAAAAAACGATTCTGAGCGAAGACGCTCTGTCAGCCTATAATGATATTACCTACTTAGTAATTATTTTAGTATATTTTATATGATGTTATTGTGATTAAAGTAGGTAATTTATTTTACTATTAAGCATAAATACTGAGGTACCTAGGTTAAATTAATTTTTGTCAAAAATTTACATTTAAAAAGCCATTGTGTGTATAAAAAATAAAATAATTTAGATAGGTACCCAGGAATAATATTTTTAAATTACAATAAAATAACTTAAATCATTATTCTTGATTATATAATAATATGTAACTTCGTCAAAATTTGAACATGAAATAACTAACAAAAAAAATATTTTATTAACTATACATTTTTTAGATTATTTGTTTATAGAACTAACTACTTGAATGCAACTTTGTTTTTAATATTTGATTCTTAGCTATACAAATTGAACATTTTATAATATTTAACTACAAAATAATTTGTGCATTTTCAATTTGATAAATGTTGTCTGAATTAGAACTTTAAATGCTTAAAAACCCAAATTAAATTGTATTTATAATATTTTTAAACTGTTAGTATAACAATATATCAGGAGTCTTGTATTACATTTTCAATCTTTTTGACAAAACAAATTACAATTAAATTGACATTTGTAAGAAAAAAAAAGAAAAAAATTAAAAATTTCCGTTAACAGCCCAACACAAGTCAAAATATACTTATAAAAGTAAATAAATAGTAAATAAGCATATGGTGTAAATTTCAAGTATATGCAGTTATTCGTTTTTGAATTACAACAAAATAAGAAAATCGCTGTATGAGAAATCGAGTGAATATCTAATGTTGTAAAAATATTTCAACTTCAAAGTTCAAACGCTCATAAAAATTTAATTTGACTTTCCGCTGGAAGTATTTTTTTGATAAAGGTATTCAAACTATTAAGTATCTTATCTAATCTAAGTTATAAAAATGAAGTTTTTTATGAATTTCCAGGTCAAAATAATTTGCAACATTTTTGTGATTTTTACAAATTTTGTCAAAATTCAAAATTCAAACGCTCATAAAAAATTATTGTGGATTTACGCACAACTTTTTTTTAAATTTCTACCAACCACAACTTACTAAGAATCTTGTATTACATTTTCAACTTTTTTGACACAGCGAAATTAGTTTTTCAAAAACTAATATTAGCCGAACATTTCATATGTCTATCAACACGAGTCAAAATATTTTCAAAATTGTATGGTGTGTAGAAAATGAGGATAATATATTCAGTGAAAATTTCATGTATCAACGGTATTTTTTTTTTAGAGGTATATCAAAAACCAAAATCCATATTGTTAAAAATCGGTATTGCATAAAAAATCCTCTTTTTCCTTAATTTTTTGTTTGTTTTTCTGCTGCCTTGAAAAATGTAGGGAATTTTTGGCTTTTTACTCCCTAAAGTACCAACTAGATTCATTTCCCTACCATATAAGACGCTGTTGAAGATAATCGAAGCCTCAAAAGTAATTTTACCAACAAGCGATGAGAAATACAATAAAAAACACTCATCATTGTAAAATCAATGAATGCATCGGCCATCGCTCCGTTCAGAATCTAAAATATGTAGACAATCTAAATATAAGACTAATTTAATGATTTCGTACATTTGCTCATAATAAATAAATTCTTACAATTTTCAGTATCAACATATAATATAATATACGTTATACATTTATACGATAAACCTTTATAATTTATACTGTTTATTAAAAATGTGAAATGGGTTTTGTATTGTTGCCTGTTGGTATGTTTATGCCTAATGCCTTTTTTATGATCGACGGACTTCACCAGTGTGTTGAAAATTCATCTAATAATTTGAACTATAAAAAAATGTCTGAGTTCTCTCACTCGTATAATAACATGTGTCCTATAGTATTATCTAAAGTAGATATACACTTTAATTTTGAATTTGAAAATGAGGGTGAACATGCTTGGTGAATCATCCTGTTTATTATGGATTCTAAAATTGTTTGTTTATTACAATGTCATACCATACTATATAGGTTGAGCCGTTGATATGAGAACTATTATCAATAACATTTTACAACAAAAAATAAAATCACGAGTGAAACAACAAATTACTACTAATAATCATGAAGTCGACGAAAGTGCCATTTTCGTACAAACAGGCCAAACCACTGGACCTGTCGTTCGAAAACCTGAAATCGCTGGAGCCTACCTCGCTGCGCGTGTTCTCCACGGGCTTCGTCAGTTCGTACCGGATGTTGGGCGTGCCGGCCCAGCGCAATGGCCGATACAAGACGGCTTCGTTGTTACTGAGCCACAACCGGTTGACCGGCGACCTAAAAGACATCCAGCTACTGGTAGACAAGCTGTTCCAGCAACCGAATGCACTTTGCTGGCTAGACCTGTCCCACAACCAGTTGACCGACGTATCAGACGTGCTGCTCGGGTTCCCAAATCTGAGTACGTTGTACTTGCACCACAACCGATTGGCCACCCTGTGCGCCGTGGCCAGGATCGACCGGCTGCCACGACTCAGGTCTTTGACGCTGCAGAACAACCCGGTGGCCGAGCACTACGGTTACCGGACTGCGGTCTTGTCCATGTTGAAGCGGATCACCCGACTCGACTTTGTCAGCGTGACGGACAGTGAGAGGCGCCTGTTGCCACCCATAGCTTTAGAAAGTTTCATCAAGAATTATTTAATGCGCCAGAAATGATAGACTGTTGAAAACGATCGCGTGTTAACGGGTCGGCCATGGACAATTAAAAGCTCGGAGCCGTTTAGTGAAGACGATACCTACAATAATAATAATATTATTATCATGGAGCTGTGGAGAGACGCGCAATGTTACAGGTCGCGGCCATATATTATTATAATATACACTAACGAGATAACATAATATAACACTATATTACAGTCCTGCTTTGTAAAATCGTGTTGTAACGAGAATAATTAAAAATTCATATCGTGACTGTCAATAATAAATTAATTAACATGTACGTACCATATCCTTTAAAAATAACTATAAATAACGATAATAACAACGAGTCATTTTTTTTTGTGGTATCGTCGACATTTTCGGGACTGCTTGCGAATTAAAATGGTTATTAATTTGATACCGATCATGAAATATGTTAGAATCACAATTTATCGACCCCATTTGCATATTAGTTATTACTTATCACTTATTACAGTATATTACTCGTATGTCCCCCGGTCTGGTACAAAAAAAAATCCCATTGGTATAATATTATTATTGTTAACAATTTTTATTACTTCTTCTATTTAGAACACTTTTGTAATCAACATGCTTAGCTCAACTTTAAGTACTTAACTATACAGAGCCCGTTTTTAATGCAAAACGCATTATTTTTGGGAAGTCCCCGAAAATGCTTTTCAAGTACAAAATCCGTTTTATAACATCAAAGAATTGAAAACTCAAACTTTTATCTTGCATTTTCATCAGTTTTGGTGTTTTTTACAATTTGTAAATAACAAACAATTAATATCGTGTCTAATAAATTTTAATTTTAAAAACATTTATCACCTGTTTATTATGGTGATTGGTGAGCAACCAATAGTCAAAAATGGAGTTTTAAAAGTTTAGGTTGTGGTGTTATAGTGATATTTTTTCAATAATCGTGGGTCGAATGTATCCCAGTCCGCCCCTGTGGTCTGTAGGTAAGTGCGAATGGATAAAATAATTCGCGGATCATCTCGGCGGTGTCCACGACGCCATCTAGCGGTCGGACGTATTCCGATTGATTATTATATATTATACTCTTCGGCCGTGTGCCGCGTCGCCGCTTTATTCACTACAAATGCGTTCTACATGCAAGCAGGCGCTCGGAGTCGACCGCCCGCTTGTCACGAGTGCCGCGCTGTGTAGTCAGCACTCGGGTGGGCAGCAGTCGTAGACGGCAAGTCCGTACATGGTGTCGTCGGGCAGGCGCTTGAGGCGAACGGTAGCGAGACAACAGCAATAATAGTAATAATATTTACCGCAGATCGATAAAAGTTTTCGTGTTTTCATTTTATTGTTGCTTGTCGTCAGAAACATTGCACCGCAATCCGTACTTGTAACCGCACAGGTAGTTACAATACCTGCACCGTGCATTCGGTGTACGATATTAATAGTATACAGAAGTGAGTTGAATAATTTTTTATAATATAAATATATAATATATAGGTAGGTACTTTTTTTATTGTGTATACAGGTGCGTAATTATTGTTATTAATTGTACACGGATGAAGTGTCTTTATAAATACGCTCCTGTTTCCCGCCTAATTATAAATTATAATATGTATGATGAGTATAATATTATAATTTGTAGTGTCAAGTATGGTTTTATAATTTGGTGCCCCTATTATTTTATGATTATGATATAATTTATACAATCACACGTATCTACCTACATACTGTGTATAATGTGATGAACACAATCAAAAGATCATAAATTACGTTGTCACTTGTCAACTAGACTAATTTTTTGATACTTAAAATTAACTATATGCCATACCATTATTAAAATTTACAATAAAGTTTAAAATTAATAAAAAAAACACTGGTTATGTTACTTTATCGCTCTACAATGAGAAAAATTATTGCATACATATCATATGTAATAGAAAAATTCATAACAGAACATTGCGTATTTATAGGTTTGTAGCTTATATGTATAATTTAGTGCATTTGATATACGTATTTTATAATAATATGCTTCATGATTTATGAATATAGTATAATATTATCTTACTATTAATTTGATGACTTTTAAATAAGCATACTTAACTAATAAGTACGTAATTTTTTTTCGTAGCTAAACAATAAACACCCTATCTCTTTAAACATTTTAAAATCTCTATGATATGATTAAGAACTATTTTTCTTATTTTTAATAATGTATATTTTGAAAATTGGTAATATATATACTTTTAGAAAGTAGTTATTTTGGTTTAGAAAGTATAAATACCTAGTAGGTGCCTATGTAAAATTATCAGTGCATGACACGATGAAGTCTTAGTAATTGATACGAAAATCTTGGTGAAGGGCACATATTGTATTATTATTTTTGTTTGTATATTTAACATTCTAAAATAAATGTTGACGTTGAATCTTTGTTTGTAACAATTTTTAGTTTTTGCTTACTTTTTGAAATTTCATAGTACCTAATATTTTACCTAAAAATGAAACTATGTATAGTAAGAGGTAATGGTTTATTTTATTTTTATTTATAAAAAGTTGAGTGTTGATAAAACTTAATTTAAATTAAATATAAGATTAGGTATCTTATAATATATATATCTTGTAATATTTAATTGAACTTTTTGATGGGTACCTACAATTAAAAACCAGTAATGCCATCCAAGTATTTATTGCGAGGTACTATTAAATAATAATTGACTCGTCATTTATTTCCAATGATTGGCTTTAAGTACTTAATACTGTAATAGGTATACATTTTTAAACTTTAACACAAAACAATAAGTAAAGTTTTCAAAAACTGCAAAACTTTTGGACTTGGTTTTGCGATGTAATATTAAAACATCCTAGAACGCAAAAAAAAAATGTCCAGGGTAATGTTCTGAATATTATTTCAAAAAAGTGTTCTAAGTGTTAAATTACGTTTACCGGTATTCTGTAAGTAGCAGGCTAGTTTTTCATATTATTGCAGTCAAACTGTTTGCAGGCCATTTTAAAATCATTACCCGGTCAGAATATGATCAATATACCTAGTTATAATATATCAGTTCTACATTAATATTATAGAAAGTACACTCTGAAAAAAAAAACAATAATATAACAAAAAATACGGACTTAATATCAAATCGCCGGTGGTATTATATTATTTTGACAGGAAAAATAAGGTGTTTACTGCAAAAAATATGTGTTAATACATTTTATATAGGAGACAAATTACGTGAATCTACAGTGGTAATATTATTTTAGACCCAATGTTGTATTACTAGATCATCGGAGTAAATCGTATACATAGTTAAATCATCATAATTATATATAATTTATAAATTTGAATAGAAAAAACTAAAAAGAGAGATAGCCAGATAGGAGAACCTTGACAATGTAAAAGCAATTAGGAAATATTGGTAATATTTGAATAGTTTATTTATTAACACTTTCAGTACATTGAATACCTTAAGTTAGTAGATAGTAGTTACCTGTACAGTTACATTTTTAATTCTAGTTAAATTTTTATTTGTGTCGTCCACAGATGGGCCTGATTATTGCTCGGTTTTTTTGATTGATTTATTCACACTTACCTAATTAATAATATCTTTAATTTGAGATATTTTACAATTGATAGGTACTTTGCTTATGTTTTTTAAATTATGGCTCTTTGTATACTTATCGTACTTTTTAAAATGTTGGGTGTATTTTTTAAGGTATGTATAAGTACTTCTAATTCTCTATTTATAATAGTTATTCACAGACCTAAGACATTTTCTATTATAATAATTTAAGACATTTGGACAAGTTGTTTTCGTTTAAAGATTAAAGGCAATAGATGTATTATGTATAATGTATACACATAATACATACAGGTACCTATATTGAAACCAGCAGATTAGTTGACCTGTAATGGTAAGTCACTCACTATAGTTCAGTCCTTCAGTGTTCATGTTGTATTAGTAATGAAGTAGGTACCTATAGAGAATAGAAAATAATTTAGCTGGGTAACGTGTGTAAACTGACCATTTTTAGTTTAGAAGGTTAAGTTCAGACATTTAGTGAACTAAGTCCATTAAATTTGATTTATCCAATTTAGTGACGCCTCCCAACCAATGTACCATCTAGAACTAAAATTGTCAGTTAAGCGGGAATGAACGCAGTTTTTTAGTCCAGTGTGACTACCGTTGCTCACGATGTTCTCTAATTTACGAATGCCCGGACACTTTAAGCCACTGCGGTTACTACACAAATATTTAAATTACGTGCTATCATAATGTCCATAAAACACTGTATAGTTCACAGGAATACATTTGAGGAGAATAAAAAAAATTACCAATTGCCAATCACGACTCTTAGATTTAAAAATTATTATTAAACATTAAAATTGCAATAATGGTTTTTTTCTTTTTTTCTTTAATATAAATAAGAACGAATAAGTACGTATATTACGAGTATATAAAGATGTTATACCTAATGCAAAGAGGTTATTTATATATTTTTTAAATGAATATTGATTATATAAAAAGAAATTCAAAAGATAGTTGAAGATATAGTTATAAATTATAATAATATTAAAGTAATTGTTTTATGTGTATAATAGACAGTGTTGTACAAAGATAACCAAACAATTATCTAGACAAGATAACAGATAATCCCTTGGAAAATTATGTAGATAAGATAATAAATAAGCTCAAAATATTTGTCTAGATCAAAAACAGATCATTAGAAAAAGTTTCATAATTTAAAGCTTGCATTAATTATAAAATGGAAATTTTGTTATAAATACAATTATATAAAGTATTAGATCATGTCATAATGATTTATTTTCTTTAAAATTATCTTTATTTATTTTACTAATTTGTAATACATAAAAAAGTACAATCTCCTTTTGCTTTTTGCTTAGTATCAATTATAATTTTTAAACATAAACAATGTATAATAAAAACTATTTCATTTATTTAAGATATTGTGATTTTAATCAGTTTATACTACCTTATATTAAAATTCAAAATGGTAAGGTTATACAATCTAGATGTCTAATTATAATTTATAGTATTGTACTGAATAAAACATCTGCACAAACATTATTACCAGTTACCACCAGCAACATTTAAATATTTTTATTTAATTTAGAGCAATAACACTCATTAACTTAAATTAACCTTCTTAAGAAGCTTTTCAAAGTTGCCAGTGTATCGTATATTCGTATCACTATATTTGTTTTTTACCTACAATATTATAATACGATAATAAGTATTCCTTAATCAATAGAATATATTTATAAAAATAATATTTACCAGCTATACAACAACATCTTTGAAATACCTAGGTAAGAAATATAGTTAAAAGTTTGTAACTTATAACACGGTAATTGTATGATTTTAATTTTAACAAAAATTACCTATAATTTTATAAATCTATTATATTCTCGTGATGAACAATGAACTACAATAATAATCTTGAGCGTACAAACACCCAAGTTATACAGCGTGTGTGACAGAAACAACAAATTTATTATACATAACTATAAATTAAATGCGGCGCGGCCGTAGAATGAGTTGTAGTTGTGTGACCAATGGCTACACGGGCAACGCTCGTTACATACTATGAGACACTCAACCTGAAGGTATTAACAAATAGAACTGGAAAGTTAAATCGAATAAAAAAAAGCAATAACAAAATTAAAAATAAAATTCTCATAAATAAATAATTATTTATCTCAACCATTTTATTTAAATAGATAAGATAATAATATAATTACAATTATTTTTATTTTTATCTAAATAGTGTACAACACTGGTTATTGAGCTGTAGACGAAACCACACTCACATTACTTCCCTTAGTACTCAGAGTGTTTGTTAGGTATGCTAGCCTTTAGATATTACAGGTGCCTATAAAGGGAATGAAAATTCCAAAAATATTATCACAGTAATGTCTAAAAACCATAAAAAAGTAATTTATAAAATATTATTGATGTTACATAAACATCACATTCCAATTTTATTAAAAATCTGTAAAATATAAAGATAAGGTGTAAATAATATATATTATATGAGATGAAAATGCACACCCTTCGACCCTTGCGCACTCAAAAATTACACCCCTGATAAAACTCTTGATTGGTCTAGATAGCCGCCCTATTTTTTTCTCCGGGTAGTAAACTCATTAAAAAAAATCTATTCTGTTTTGATATGTGCATAAGGGGAAAAATTTGTATACAAAGGGAGTAAATGTCAAAATATGGCTGGTGACTGCGTAAGGGGATCTCGTCGTACTTATAATTGGGATCTGTGTATATACTAGCCGTAGAACAACCGTTCTTTTGTTCGAAGCCTTATTATACTAAAAGGGCTTCAGAATAACAATTTATGAAAACTCAATTTGTGCCTGCAGATGGATTGTTTCCCAGACCATCCATGAGTTATGGCCGACGTATAGATATATTGAAGCATATTATTATATAATTTATATACAAACCAAGAAGTTACCGGCATTGTTTTAAACATTTATTCCAAATTGTAATTTAGGTATGGAGTACAATATTTTATAAAATCAATGATATACTAAATAATTTAACAGTTTTACTTTTGGAAACCAATATTCAGTTATTTGTATGATGACATATTTTTTTAGTGAGAAGTTGTCGTATATAGAGGTAGGAAGGTGGATGTATTATTTTTACCCTGGGACCATTTCCATAGTTACCTACTTAAAAAATTTAATTAAAATCATACTTACAATGTACTTATGCTAAGTTTATCTGAATTACAAAGTTTTAACTGCAGATAACATAAGCATATTATTTGTATTTCTATCACATATTATTGTTTAATAAAATTAAGTACCGACATACCTATTTCAAAAAATATGATTGATAACACCGAGTATACTCCTACCTCTATAATTCATTTATCTACCTACAAAAGTATTAGTAGGAACTTATCTAAAAGTAAAGTTTGGTGTATATAATTATTAAGCATCGGTACCGGTATGCATTATAATTTTTAATGTGACTAAAGAAAATTATGTACCTATGTACCTAATTAAAAAATTTATCAAGTTAATACAAAATTAATAATAAATACCAATACTATTATTTTTACAGGAAAAATTATCAGCTATTATAGTACTGTACCATGAATAAGAAGATATTTTAGAAGTTCCTACAAGTTATGTTTTTTATTTAATCTCCATCTGTATTTTTATAAAATGTAAGTACCAACATCCTGAATATTTGATATTTTTACTCAAGTATAAAAATATATTAATATAACATTATTATATGTTTTTCACCTTAATGTTTTTCAGCATAATTAAGATGCAAGAACCTCCAACTGATTGGCTTATGATCATTGCAATATGTTTCATAACTAGTTGCGTATTAATTGGTGTACTGTGTGTTGTTTGTTGCTTTTGGTCAAAATGCTTATTATTCAATTGTTGCCGACCAAACTATAACAACACATTTATTATATCTTATGGTAAATATTATATACATATAGATATAGTAAGTTCGTGAAAATTCAAACCTTGATAGCTTGAACATCTTTAAAACTTTAATTTTTTGCTTGCCCCTAGATGTGTTTTTTATAAGTCAAATTTATTTTTATTTATTTCGAGATTCGAGTTACCGAGACTCAGCTGTACTTTCGAAAAAAAAATGATATTCTCAATTAAAATGTATTAATTTAAGAATTACTAGGTATTGATAGTAGGCTAATGATAATATTGATGGGGGTAAATGCGGCACACTTTTTAAATGATCCCCTTTTTTCGTATTCATTAAAATAAAATATCATAGAATATGTAAATATAAAATGTTTAATATCATACTGCAAATATTTTATAGCATTAGAAATATGTCAAAATTGCGCTAAAAATATGATAAAATTGCAATATAAAATCATGCAGCATCATATAAAATATATAATTGTTAATTACTTATTCAAATAACATGATAGACAATTATAAATAGTATTAAAAAGACATGTTATAAAAAAAATACTACAAAATTTAAATGCATTATTTTTCTGAATTTAAATGAATATAAATAAACATTTCTAAAAATTAAATAGGAAGACTGTAATTAGTATGGTTCGTGTACATATTTGAGCAGATTTGATTTGCCTGATATCAATAAAAAGTTGCATTAAGTTTTTTTTAGTTTGTATTTATATTCTTTAATATAGCATGAAACGTCATTGATATTATTATCTTCATTTAGTTTATGTAAATTTATTATTTAATTATTCTAATTGTTTAAGTAATATCGGTGAACCTAGTTGGGGTAACTAAAATTTGTTATTCTGCCTAAGAAGAATACTTCGGTATTATTTTAATGTTTGGGTTCGTCCTAATAAAACAAAAATTTTCCTGTTCAGCCATCGCAAGCAAATAATTATTTTTATCTACCGATTCGAAACTTTTGTTTATGCATTAATTTATTACCTTAATATTTGAATAACTGTTTCCAGACAAACCAGAAGAAGCATTGAACTTACCACCAGAAGACACAAATAACAGTACTTGTTACTCACCCGTACGAATGAAAAAAATAAAAACATATGATTATTAAATTTTAAAGATTTTTAAGGTAAATATAACAGTTTTGATGCCGATATTCAAAATGATATAATGTATTATTACTTTAAGTTTACACCTACTTGTGTTTATTGTTTAATAATTAATATCCCAATTTATTGTATAGTATAATTATAACATATTTAATCAAATTTGTTTTTAAATGTACATTTGCAGTAAGATATATGCTTGTGTTGCTTACATGTGCGACTACAAAAAAAAAATTGTCAAAATGCAACGAATGTTCCTGATCTCAGTATTACATAGTACACATACAAATAAATAATAATAATAAGACACGTGAGTTATGTTTTGATTTAAATATAAAATAGGAATTTCATATTAGGTTAGATAACCTACATTTGTAACCCAAACTTGAGACATTAAAATTTTAAATGTCTCTACTTATAGTTTATAATGTACCAAGTTGACTATACTAAGTATACTAAGACTAATACATCGTCTTTAGGTTTTTATCAAACCTAATAGATTGGACATTGGGCATTTGCAGGATGTGTTAGCTGTGAGTACTTAATGCACCTGCTCTATCGTCCGACTATCCGAGCTGAGGGGTATTGTCCATTTGTGCCAAAAAAAAATTAACTCGTTATGGGTCCAGCCAATTCGCTCCAAATTTATCTGCTTACATAAACATTTTATAATAACTACTTGGTTTAATTCACATATTTTAAAGATTCAACACATTCGTTCAAATTCGAATTTAAACAAATCAAAAAAAAAACAAGGGTATTCAATTTCACTTGAAAATAGTTTTTTTTTCAAATTAATGTCATATTGGTATACTATATTTTTTAAGTAACTATCAATAATACACATTTTTTTAAAATTGTACTCAATTGTAGACTATAATAATAGTTATTAATTAACTAGTTACACATTTTTTTACAAATTATAATCAACTAATCAACTAATATATTTTTTTCCCAATGTCGGGTGAGAAGGCTAATATATTTATTATATAGGTACAACGAAATATTTTCTGACCCCGGAACCGGACATAGCCCCATCCCATTGGAATTATTGAATTGCGTTCCTTTACTAATACGGACACGGACAAGTTTAGGTAGTCCAGTGAGCTTAAATACCTCTTAATAACGGACAGTTATACCGAGAAACAAAAACCTACTCGAATTGTTCATATATATTAGGTATACATTTTTATAGTGTACATGCAATTTTTATATTTCTGATAAAAACATTTGTCTTTATGATTTAATGAATACGATCAGGTACCTATTATGTGGCTATGTACAATCAATAAACCTAAGTGAATGATAGATAGTGACGAAAAGACACATTACATGAATTTCCAACTTGACGTGTACCGTATCTACTCCGGTATCTACCGTTAGAATCATATACTTAATAATAACCTTACCTACCTAATAAATCTTAAATAAAATGTTTTTTAAAGTCAGTAAAACTTAAATTTTTATTTTTATACATTTTTCCCATTAGCGGACACCTTTCAATAGCGGACGATTTGTATGGTCCTATGAGTGTAAGCTATTTAGAGGTTTTTCTGTAATATTTTTTGTTTAAAATTATTTTTGGTTATAGAATAGATAGTACCTATTGTGTTCTTAATTATTTTACAGTTTTGTGTTTTTATTTATTACTAATTTTCAGTATTGCACTTGACTAATGAGCTTACAATAGTATTTCTATAAAAAAAATTATAGTAAACTATTTAAATTAAAAATTGAAAAAAATAAGTATAGATATATTGTAATTAATTAAGACACTATATAATCATAAATCGTAATGGACTACAGATATAATTATTACATTTATATATAGTTGTCAATTGGTTAACTATGTACTTGGTTATTTCTTAAAATCTCTACATTTACATCGCTGTCCTTAATAATATTTATCAAAATTTGTGTCACGTGGAAAACACTCGCTACCCGAATTTTTTTATGAATAATAACGTCATAAAGTAACAGGTGATGAGTATTCTAGTCCTACAAAAACTAGAAAAAAAAATAAGTGCCCCCCCCCCTCAGAAAATTGTTCTGGCTACGGCACTGGTTAGAATAGTTAGTGAATGTATAATACCAACTATTCATGGTTTGATTTTTTTTTCAGGATTCAGAAACCGACTACAATATTTCATTTATTCAAAAACAAACAATATTAAAACAATCGATTAATGTATTGATCAACTGACTACTATGAAGATCTCAATAATAAATAAAATTGTTATTTCTTAGGTAGGTATTGGTGTATGTTGTATTATACTAGGTACCTACAACCTACCTACGTATCAATTATATTAAATATTTAAATAATAATTAGCCAATATTATATAGGTTTTCGATGGAAGATCAAATGTGTGGATGAGGGGTTTCGATCCTTCCATGACCCTTTTTTCAATATTTATGATCTTATAACGATTAATTATATTATTAATGATCCAATAGTGCTTATTAATCTCTTCTCTTCAATCTTGAAAAAATCCATTTGATCTATATTACGTAATGCATACTAAAAAGCCTGAAGGTTAAAAGGTAGAAATTATTAGAAAAAGTTAAAGAGTAATATTTTTAATCATATAGGTAATATTATATTTTTAATAATATTATTTAATTACCCGTACCTATTGGCTATGAATTATAATAAAAACAGAATCCGTCTTAATACCTATATACTAACTTTTACATTTATTTGTGGTCAATTATTAAATTAGTATTTATCTAGTTTTGTCTATTTATTAACATTTATTAGTTAGTGCCAGGTTTTCTTTAATTACACAAATTACAAATTAAATTTACTTTATTTTTAAATAGCTATGTATCTTAGAGCAGACTCCATTTATGATATTAAATTATATTTACATATTTACTTAATAAAAAAATTAATTTATATTACTACCTAAGAAAGTATCTTGTGTTTGCCAACTACTGTTTTATGAAATAATGCTATTTTTAAAAACTATATTAAATTTATATCATTTATTTTACATGCGCCTGCGCCTACCTAAATAATAATGTATATTCTGAATAATTGGCGTACATAATCAAATAATATGTATAATATTTCAGGAATTTTCCCAAAGGGTACCTACGCATTTATATTTAATTATTTCTATATGTTATTGTGCTGTATTTTATACTCTTAATGATTTTGCTTCTGTTCAAAAAAAATTTTATATCTTAAAATTAAACTGTTTATGTTGGATGTTTTACAATAAATGCGTGATATACCAAGGTTGTTGTTTATTATTTATTATAATATGTTAAGACCAGTTGGACCATGCGCAGTACTACGTAAAATTATGAAAATTCATTGAGGGATTATTTTCTACGTCCTGTAGTTGTTTTTAGGTGTTATATTAGCAAAAATGTGATTGTTTGATGCGTATCCATTAGTCGCTACGGTTGACCTTATAATTATATATATATACTTTATAACCTATCCTTGGTAATCAATTCTTAATCATGTTAAAGGGACCATTAGCTCACTATTGACTCGCTGTATATATATAGAGTAATTATTGTTCATGCAACCCTGAATTAAAGTTATTATTATTGGCATAAATACAAATTTTAAATTATAAAATTGCCTTACCCGTGCATATTAATTGCAGTAACTGAAATAACGAAATTACACTATTTTCACACAGACTACTACTTATTCACAGATGCGAGATGGCTATATGTGATAAGAGACATAGAAGTCTGACAGCATAGAACTTTGTGATTTAAATTGTTACACCTACTTGAATCTCAGAAATACATTTATCTACAGTAATATACAGATACAGTAGGACTGTCTTAAAAATAATTTTAGTCAGTAGGTATAACTTGATGCTTGATTTATGGACTTGGGGAAATCTAGGTACCACTACAACATTGGTAGAATTGTATTATTAAAAATATGTATAAATTTGAAATCGATGATAAATCATTTCGTTACAAAACGACCTGATAATAAGTGGATCTTGGTTAACCGGAAAACATGAAATATGAATCTCAATTTCCGAAGGGAAGTGCCATAAATTACGCGTGTTCATAATACCTACTCACATGTCTGTATCAAATTTCCAATCCATATAAGTCAACATAATATAAAAAATACGCTGTAGCATATCCAACACAATTTTGAAAAGCTCGAATTTAGAAATTAAAATATAATGAATTTAGGGCAGGGGACTTGTAGCTCCAAAAAATCACCAAATATGCACTAAAATGTACAAAATATGCATTAAAAACTAAGATATCATACATATCTGTAATCTGTACATAAATAGAATTAATAACCGAAAAATTAATCTAATCGACAAAGTGTTTTTAGGAAAAACATGCGTGTGGGAACAGCCAACAACCATATTAATATGACCAAAATTTAAAATAATTTAAAATTCAAAATTATTTTGATGGAATATTAAATATTTAAATTAGATAAAAACTGTAAAAATATTTATAACATAAAAAATTAGATAAAAACTGTAAAAATATTTATAACATAAAAAATTATTGAAAATATGCATCTTTAAGTATAGAATCGAAGGAATATGCACTAATAAAAAAAAAACTCGAAATATGCATTTATATGCAAAATAAAATGTCAAAACAGCTTTGTTTCAGCATGAAACGTATTTGTTTCTTACTCTGCTATTTTTGTGATCGTGCAAAACAAATATGCAAATGCTACAAGTCCTTTGCCCTAAATTAATGATAAACTCAGAATTGACGGTCCTCGACAAAACGTACAAAACACGTCTAAACAATTGTGCCCCAAAAATGTACGGTTATCATTCATCATTTTTCATCTTAATAAAGTATATATTTGTAATTAAATATTAATAATGATGGTATTTAGGGTTTAAAAAAATATTTGTTCAATAACTTGCATGACGTGTTTGTGAGTAATATTGTAGTCTGGGGATTTCTTTTCCTAGGTCCCCTCGGGGATTTTTTTTCCCGTGGATTTTTATTCCTCAATTTTTTGTTACTCTATAGTTTGTCAATATTGTTATCACAATTATCGTGATAAGAGAAATGTCGTTAAGGAGTTCCGTTCCCTATAGATATTAGATATTAGGTATGCGCTGCCCATTTTGTATAATACATTATACTTATTAATATTATTATATTATATTTTTTATTCATTTTTAATACCACTAATATTACATTTTTGTTGCATATCAGTAGTTTCGTCTCACAAGTCACAACAATATCATCTCGAATGTACTCATGTTCTTTTTAATGTTCCCGGTTTATAGTATGTTCGGATTTCAACAATCCAAAAGTTGCTCTTTTACTATTAACCGATAAATCATGTAGATTAAAAAATGTATTATATATATTTATTTACAGTTTTTAGTACTTAAACATTATTAGACATGGATCATAGTGTGTGTTACATTTCTGACCCACAATTAATCCAAGAATGCTGTAAAATTCCAAATATTTCAAAAAGAGTAAGACCTGACAATTAAAAATATAAATAACCATCACTATTTTAATTATAATTGCATAGAATTTATGGGTGTTTATGTCAAATTAATAATTATGTAAAAAATACAATAAGCACAATTTAGCATGTTTGTAGAAACGTAAAAACTTGGAAGTTTTGGATCACTTAAACGATTTCTTAATTTTAGTCTTAATACTAAATTTAAGTAATTTTTAATTATTAAAGTTAATAATAATTGACATCAATATACCATCTATAATCAACATTTCATTTTCCATAATTATGTTATCTATTCATTCAAATTAATTATTTTCATCTAATAAATGTTACAAATTATATATATTTCAATTTTCAGGCTCATTTAGTTGATAGTCTCATTAAGGCATATCATCTACCTGATCACATGGATGTATTTAAAGTGAATCCTTCATCATATGAAGATCTTATAGGATTCCATTCTAGTGCATATGTTGATTTCCTAAAGAAATTAAATGATAACAACAGTTCTATCTTGGACACTGAAGAGGAATATGGAATTGGTTATTAATATTCTTGAATTACAGTGGGTTCCGCTTAATGTGATCACTTTGGTGCAGGTCATTTTGATTCTATTAACCAGTTGATTCTATTAAACATTTGCAACATTTTTTTCATGATTCATTCTTTTTATACAATTACATATTTATTTATAATTACATATTTAATGTAACATACATAATAAATGACACAAGTACACGACGCACAAAGATAATTGAATAACATAATAATGTACAACAATAAACTGTCATACTAATAAGTTCAAAAATAAAATGTATTTTATAAATTAATCAGTTTGAAATACCATAAAAACCTTAAGATTGTCCATAAAAGTGATTCAATTATCCGGTACTTAGTGATTCTAATAAAAGTTCAATTTAACATTAGTAACATACCATTTGGTTTGGGGATTTTCATTTTTGATTCTAATAAATGGTTGAATATATAAACCAGTGATCACATTAAGCGGAACTCACTGTATATTGAAAAAATAATAAAAATATTTAATATTTAAAGTTTTGTATAGAACACTTGATATGTGGTATTCTGATTATGTATTATATTTTAATTGTTTGATACTAAACTTTTCTTAAATGAAACCATAAACAATATGCCACTCCATAAAATGTTCAAATTAAAATCTAATCGTATGCATTGTTAATAAATTATAGATTATTAAATTTAAATTATATTACTAAAATATACATTTTTTTTCAGGTTATGATTGTCCAGTTGTAAAAGATATATGGCAATTTATTACATATATCTCAGGTGCTTCATTAACTGCTGCAAAAGCATTAACAACTATGCAATACAGATATTCTATCAACTGGTGTGGGGGTTGGCATCATGCACTAAGGTTTAGCATTAAACTATTAATCATTATTTAAAATATACCTACTCGTATCACTTTTTTTAATGCAATTGAATTAATGCTTTTTATTTTTATTAGAGATTCAGCTCAAGGTTTTTGTTATATAAATGATATAGTTCTTGCCATAGAAATGTTAAGAAAAACTTTTGGGAAGGTGTTATACATTGATATTGATGTTCATCATGGTAATAATTTTTGTATTCAAATTTATTTTCATGAATATTTCTTCTTTTGTTTAACAACCAATTTCCGTGTTGATAAAGATTTCTTATTTATTTAGGCAATGGTGTTGAGTATGCATATATGGCTACAGACAAAGTCCTTACCCTTTCATTTCATCAATATGAACCAGGCTTTTATCCTACAAGTGGATCATTGGATGATATCGGAATAGATAAAGGAAAATATTTTACTGTGAATGTTCCATTTAAAGAAGGAATAAACGATGATAAATACATAACAATGTTTCAAAAGTAATAATGAACAATTTTTGAATTCATAATATGTTCTGATTAAAAAAAAATTATTTTTATTTGTTTTATGTAGAATAAGTAATATGGTGAATAGTTCCTATGATCCAAAATGTATTGTTGTCCAATGTGGGGCAGATAGTTTAGTTGGAGACCCACTTGGTGGATTTAACTTGACACCAAAAGCATTAGCGGAATGTGTGAAAAATGTAATGAAATGGGAAAAACCTACATTATTTCTCGGTGGAGGTAATAAATGATTTAAAAATTTAACTTTATATTTACATGAGTGTTAAAAATATAATTAAGTTATTCAATTATTCTAGTTTCAATTAAAACTTTTTTTCAGTATGCTCTTGTTTTTACTGAATATTAGGTGAAGCATTAGGTTAGGTAATAGTTTATTATTTGACTTTAAATTTCAAGAAATAATTGACTTTTGGTGTAAAATATTTCAGAAATGCCGATTGTTACCATTTAAAGTATTTATAGTATAGGTACTTTGTTTGTTAAGGAATATTATTTGGTTTTGTATTAAAATGTAAAACTTTGTATTAGGCGGATATAATGAAGCAAATGTTGCACGTTGTTGGACATATTTAACCGCAGTTATTACTGGACAAGAGGATGTATTATCTAGTGATATACCAGATAATGAGGTAAATATAAAAAAATATATTAACTTAAATGGTTGATTGAAAAATCAAAAATTTGTTTAGTCAGTTTTTACTTTTTACCAATGTTTACAAGCTTTTACTTTTTACTAGTACCATAATATGATTTATTATAAAAATAGCTTGTTTTAAAAATTTTATTTTACTTAAAAACATTATCTGTTTCAGTTTTTTTCAGCTTATGGTCCAGACTTTACTTTTAATATCAATCCAGGAAATCGAAAAGATTTTAATTCATTTAATAATTTGAATAACATTTTCAGTGTTATTGCAAGTAATACATTTTTGTATTAATTTTGATTTGACAATTTTAAATAATCATTTATTTTCTTTATTTTTAAGATAACATGAAAATAGTAAAAGAATTGGTACGCAAGCAGGAAAAATAATTCATCATTAAAACTGTGTACTTCTTAAAAAGATTTTTTAATAATACTTAAAAAATAAAGTTGTTATAATATATATATGAACTTATTACTTCATGAACAATTTTTTAAAAACTTATTTTGATTTTAAATTTGGATCTAAGATTTGAAAAAAATTAGTCACTCATATTATATTCTACATATGCAGCACCTGGCCCTAATTGTGGTGGTGGGAAACTGCCCCCTCATGATCCCACCCAAATGTAGCCTATAATACACTATATTTTATAAATATTTCTTGTCTAATGATTTTTTTTTAAAAATTTTTCCGTAATTTCAAATAATACATTTATTATTTTCATGATGTACCTATTTATCAGTGTTGGCCACCATTTTCCTCTGGGGCTGCTATTATTTTTTTCAAATACCTACTTTGCCTTGGGTAATGGGTTAGAGCATATATCCTTGTTGAGTATATCGTATATGTCATCGTAATGTAGGTGTGTGTTAGATTTGAATTCAATGATAAATCATTGCATACAAAAAAAGATTTTGAGCAAACACTGAGTGTCATCCTAACACACATGTATATATAATCAATTTTAATAATTAAAAACCTCTGAATATTAGATATCGTAAAAAATTTAAAATCAAATGCTCTTAAAAAAGTTAATGATTCTGTCCGGAGAACTTTTTTTTTAGTTCAAGGTAGAAAAACTAGTTGGATATCTTTTATTAAATTTTTTATGTTAGCTACTAGGTAAATCAAACATATATATTAATTTGCAAATTTTCACAATTTGGATGAATTTTGTCAATATTTTAATTTAAATGCATATAAAAATAATCATGAGTATGTATCTTAAATATTTTTTAACTGCAACTAACTTAACTTATGAGGACACTTTCATTCAATTTTCAAGCTTTTTACAATGTGAAAAAGTTTTTATAGACAATAATTAAAAAAAAAATTCTCACGGCTGTAAAAAGCTCAAAAGAAGTTATGCATGGAAAACATTATTATAAATGTCTTGTGAAAGTTTCAAGTTTCTGAGGGTTATTAGTTTTAGAGTTACATCATTTTTTTTTATCTAAAAGAACATTTTTTACAAATTGCATTGAACTTCAATTTTTATTGTATTTCAATGGTTTTATAATTTATTAAAAAAAAACCTATTTGTCATTTTTTAAAGACATATTATAGTGTTTACTGTTTAATATATAATTATTATAATATATTACTATAGTTTGTGATTACAATATTGAAGAATAGGGTTGGCTTAGGACAAGATCACTATTTGCATAGTGTATTTTTGAAGACAAAATTATTTTGGCAACCTTTATCGCCTTAATCCATAGGTAGTCAGTTGTACAATGTCTTTATGATACTATACTAGGTATATAGTATATATTAGATAATACAGACATTTGACATGTATACTGATCTAGGCGGCACATAGAATTAAATTATATATATGAGTTCACAATATATTAAACAAGTCATAATATCTCACTTACATTGATACGTACCTAACCTGTCATTAATATTTACAAGCTTACAACTCAATTGGTCGTAGCACATAGCCTTAAATCATATTATGGTAATAAGTAATAATTACCTAACAGTGGCGTATATACGAATTATTTTCACTATGGGCCGATTTATCAATTATCACTATTCAAGCATCATAGTCATAATTATACATTTTTAAGGGAGCAGCTGTTATATAATTAAGAATTATGACGTATTATACAGTTCAAATAAAAATTGCGCAATTCAATTTTATAATTATTATGTAAAATTAATTTTTTGTTTCTTTTTTTAAAAATATTGACAATGTCGTTTGTATATTTTAATGTTATCTTACTATGAATTTAACATCAAAGTCAATAAGTCATTAAAGCAAGTCTCGTCAATATATCTAACATTTCCTTGTAGATTACTCAAAAATGATTTTAATCAACCGGCTAACTTAATCATGGTGAAAAACTGTTAACAGTGTAAATATACATGCAATGCTTTAATTGAACCTGCAATTTCACTATGGGCTCTGGCCTAGGGGGCCTCCCCCCTATATACGCCACTGTTACCTAATATGGGATACTAATTAGGTACATTTACTATCTGAGAAGAATTTCCAATTAGGATTAAAATAATTGGAATTCTAGAGCATACACATATTAATTTTTAATAATTAATAGGTCTATGTTTCAGAGTTATGGACTAGCTAAATTGGAAGTCATAAAAAGAACAGTATAATTTAAAAAAAATACTCAGTAATTACTTACTTGAATTTTTAGAAAATACAGAACAAATTATTAATGAAAGGAATTATATTCAGTTATTTCAGTTAGTTTGCAATGTTAGTTTGCCATGGTAAAGTTTGTAAAACATCTTAAGTCAGCTGTGTATACTATACTCTAATGTTGATATTATTTAGAATGTAGAAAAGAGCACAGTTGTCAGTCGTTTTTATTATTCTATTATATGGAATTTTTATTTATTTTGTTTAAAAGTTTCAAATTACAATACACAATTATAATTTATCTTAAAAACGTATAAGTAAGCAGCGATTTCCAAAAACGTAGAGAACTATCAGCAATCGAGTTTGAAAACAATTTTAGCTTCGTATGCAGAATGTTCAGTTGAGTGTAGACGGCAGATTCTGACGGTTCTGTTAACTGATTCTCAATGTTCCTTACATTATTTTCGGTTCATACTTCTTATCTTACTATCATACGTATCATATGATATTATTAAACGATAAGAAAGTATTGCTATCAAATGAGAAAACACCAAAACCATTACAGGCCTTACTCTGAGTTTAAGGACTATGACCAAAACAATAGCAGTGATAGTTAATGATAGCCAATAGGAATATTATATTTTTTTTCTTCGATACGAATTAGTTATTATGCGAGTAGACTGTGTTTGTTCATGGTTCATTATGTTTTGAAATCCATTGCCTTATAAAGTAATAGAAACGTATAGAATGAAGGAATTATTATTATGCAGTATGTACATAAAATGTTGCAGTTGAATTTCTTGATTGTTAACAATTAATAATGATAAATTTAACTGTTTAAAAGTAAAAATGAATTTGAACAACTCGTTGTTAGGTAGGTCCATTATAAGCAGAAAATAAACAACATTCTCTGCCGAAACAGGCAACAAAAATTTGGCAAATAGTTAGGTAACCCATGTTCTTACTAAATTATTCATACAGTTTTGTACAATATGATTCCAGGAGCTGTGTGCAAAGCATTAACGTGAGTTGATTTTTTAATAATTGGTTATTTGTTATTATTAATATAATTTGTTTTCTTATGTATAAATATATATATATATAATTTAAACATTTAATTGTTATTTATAGACTTTTATTTGGTGTAATGTATCCAGCATATGCATCATACAAGACAGTGAAAAACAAAAACGTGAAAAATTATGTAAGACAATGTTTAATTTACACTTAACTTATGAGCAGGACTTCACTTATTTTGAGAATCTACTATTTCTGTTATATTTGTTATTTAAATATATTTAAAAAAACAAACCTATTAAAAAAATATATAATTAACTAATGGCTTAAATATGTTTTCAAATATTTACAGAATAATTACCCAGGCATGTTCATTGTTCATCTCTATTTTTTCATTCTATTAATAAATTATTTTATTCAAATTCTGATTTAAAAAATTTCTACCCACTGATGAGTATACCATGTTTTTAAGTTTAAACTTTATTATTATAACTGTGTACACAGGGAGGGGGCAGCTTGCATTTCTGCAAGTTTAACTTTTTTCAAAGGTAAGGCAATCTTATATCTTGAATCATGACTGATTTTAACCAGAAAATGCAAGTTAAGTAGATGATTTTTTTTGAAAGTTTTTATATAATATATTAATCAAAATTCAAATGAGAAGTTTCTATGTTATTTAACTTAATATAGTTATGATAACAGTCTATTCATAAAAGGTTTAAAATATATGGTGAGTATTTTCTGGATTCATTTTATATAGAACTATTATTCCAAGTACTCAGAAACAACTCATTCAAATTTATATTTAGACACATCAAAATTAAAAAAAAAATCATCTGATTAACAGTTAGAAATAAAAGAGTATGGTTCTTTCTGAAAAATGTTTGTGTATTGTCATAACTACACAGCCAACCCTTTTTAGTATCACCAATGAATGATTCTTGTAGAACACTTATGATTACTGACTATATTTTGTGATCACAAGTTTCTGAATTTTTGTGTTTTTACTAACACTCTGCAGTTTAATTTGAGTATGATATCCTGGTATCACATTCTTCATTAAATCAGTTAGGTAACATACAATTCAGTATTTATTTGGTATATTTAAATTCAGACTGATGCTACGAAATACCTTATAATATCCAGTCATTCTCATAAAATTTCACAAAATAATTATGATTTGCTTCAAAAAATCACAAACTAAATGTATGTTGCTAATGAAATAGATTTGAGTATTTTGTAAAATTAAAAACCTATTATTTTAATATTTTATAAAACCATTTATTATCATAATGGTTTATATTTTAAGTTACTTTTAAAAATATAAATATAATTTGAAGTATTTAATAATTTATTATTGACCATTAGAAAACAGGGTAATCATTAAAAAAGACCAAGGTAAAAAGAACAAAGGAAAAAAAGAACAATTTTTAAAAATTTAAAACAGTGTCCCACTAATCAATATTCTTTAAAAAAAAATTTTAATATAATACATAGGTTAGGTTATGATATATTTTTGGTATTATTTATTATTATTATTATTATTATTTATTATAAAAAAAATACGAAACATAAATTTTTGATTTAGAACGTTCATCGAACTCGGAGACACCTCGAGCATAAATCTCGACTGGATTTGTACAGGATGTCTTAGCCATTAATTTCATTTTTGATACTGCTTTCATAACATTTACTTCGGATTGGTTCACAGGATGATTGTGTTCTGTTGTCACGGTAGGATCAGTTTTCAAAATACTAGTCTTTAGTATTCCAGCACAATTTGTCGTATTTTTGGTCGAACATTTCCATATAAAATAGTTTTTACCTTTGTGCTTTGTGATATAAGTATATCCTTCAAAAGCTACTTTTTCACCTCCTTTATTAGATTGAAAAATTTCCATTTCAAATGTATTTAAAAAATTTAATGAAAACACTTGAACACTTCAATGACTGTCAATAGACTAAAATATGTTCACTCAAATTATAGCTCTAAAGTATGAAAAGTCTACATGGGAAATTTCCAGTAATAAAATGTTGTTTTATATTTTACCACTAGTTATATTTTATGATAAAGTATGAAAAGGTCACCTATAGTCAACTATAAGGGCACTAAGATTACTTAGGGCATTTCCAGTAATAAAAATGAATCTTACTCTATATTATTATACTAAGCTTTATTGTATTTATGTTTCGTATTTTTTTTATAATAAATAATACTAAAAATATAGCATAAGTGTCTATGCATTATATTAAAATTTTTTTTTAAAAAAATATTGATTAGTGGGACACTGTTTAAAATTTCTAAAAATTGTTCTTTTTTTCCGTGTTCTTTTTTCCCGTGTTCTTTTTTTCCTAGATTCAGAAAACAGTTATATTATATATTATATCATATATTTTTATAGAATTTTATTTTAGAATTTTTTAAAATAATAAAAAAATACATATTTTTGCTTTTAGGTTAAGTGGATGATGTATTGGATAGTTTTTGCAGCATTCATTTGCATCGAAAGCTTAACTGATATATTCCTTGAATTTTGGTAATGTATTTTTATTAACACTTGTTGAATTACAACTAAAATGTTTACCTCTTGTGATTAAAGGTTCCCGTTTTATTATGATATTAAATTGCTCGTACTGTTATGGATTTCTTGTCCATTTACAAAAGGTTCAACAATTTTATACAAACAACTAGTACATCCAACTTTGTTGAAAAAAGAAACGGTAAAAATAATGATTTACTTTTAAAAATGTAAAACCTTTTATCAATTATGTATTATTATTTATTGTTAACAGGATATTGATGAATTTTTGGTCAATGTTAAATCACGTACCTATAATGCTTTAGCTTCAACCGCCAAACAAACATTTCAAATGACAGCTGCAATTGTTGCCCAACATACAGTAGTAAATATTCAATGTAGATTATTAAAAATAAGAAATATCGGGAAGACAAATTAACAACACGCGATCTGTTGGAAACAATTTGTACCTTCTGATTTAGGATTGCTTGTCTTATTTTTTCTAATAATGTTAGTACAATTTCTACTAATATTATCAGATATACTTCACTTGAAGCAAAACATATATAAAATGTCAGGGAAATACCTACAAGCTAATAATAGTATGCCGACTCCATGTAATTGGGAAATCTAACCAGCACTCCTGGTGTTAATATGTCTTCCCAATATGACCCAAAAAATCAGATATTATGACATAACATTTGTGGACTTTAAATTGTAAAATAATTATGTATGTATCATTATCTGTAACATAATCATTTATGGATATTGCCTAGATCAGCGTTTAACTGTGTTCCATGATACTGGAGATCACTTCAGAGTCCTGCGTGCTTAATTCAAAATGTTCAATAAAATAACTTTAAAAAATTGAACTTAAGATTAATAGAAGATAGTGGGGAAAAAATGTTTTTATATTCAATAAGAATGTGTATGGTTTATACTTCTGTAGTGTATCTACTTATAGTTTTAATACAATAAATAGAAATAATATTTGAACGTCGTTGATAAAATTACTAATTTAATACTATTTAATCTAATACTATTTTTATTTTTATTTTAAATTATTTTTTGAATTAAATACAGTGTACACATTATTATAATAATTTTTATTGCAAATAATCCTTACATAAAATGACGCATTAAAACTATTGAAAGGAAGTAGGGGTTATAATTATTGTCGAGGCGTAATAATTTATTGATGAAAGCTGAACAAAAAAAGCTAAAAATCTAAAAAAAATAGGCTTTCCACGATACAACTATACAAGTGGGCATAAAAAAGGTTTCACAGATAAAAAAGTTAAAAAAAACGCTGGTTTAGATAAACAAAATTTTAATAAATAAAATTTAATTTCTTTTAAGTTCACTCAAAGTTCACACTTTTTTTATTTTTTAAATTTTAGTTGTTAATGAAAACAAATATAGTCATTGGTTTTAAAAAGGGTTATACAAATAATCTAATGTGCTAGGATAAAATTATAAATACTTGCATTTAGAATCAATGATACCAGTTATATTTACTTTTTATCCAATAGGTTGGGCGTATGCCAATGATTCTTCAACAAGCGATTACATTGGATGATGAATATTTACCCCAAAATCCAGCAGCTGTCATAAGAAAAGTGAAAAAAAAGAAACCTACAACCATTATTATAGAAGATTATGTATCAGATTCTTCTTCTGACTCATTGCCAATAGAATCTACTGTTGTTATTGAAGATGTGCCCATTCAGAGACCTAAACGTAGTAAAGTGCAATATCAACAAAAATCTAGTAACATTAATAAATAAGAGACAGTCATTTAAAATGACTATTATACTATGTTCCATTACAAAAATATTTTGTCATTACAATAAATCTTAATCATGTAACAAAAATATATCACAGTCCATGACAATATTGCACTTTTTTTTTTAAATTCCACTTTCGCAAGTTTTAAGTTTGTTATCACTAGTTTTCCAATTTATTTTTATTTAAATTATTAATTTAGTTTAACATAATCACATTTTAGGTGTTGAACAAAATAATGTTTTAATATTGTAGAAATCTATTCTTTTATAATTTATTATATTCTTATAATACATTTACTAATTTAGTTATAAGATATAATCTTTGACATAAATAATTAATAAAATAGAAAGACAAAATATATAAAAGACTAACAAACAAAGGGTATATAATCAATAATCATATTATGTTGCTCATACTATACAGTTGTTTCCTTATATAACGGTGCTACTTATAAGTTATTTTGTGTTAAAAATAGTCTTTATTTTAGTAGGTAATTTCATCTCATTTATAAATATTGAAAAATATATAACTATTTAAATTGTTTTTCCACTAAATATTATTTGGAATCTCCTTTATACTAAGTATTATTTTGAAAATTTGAAAACTATTGATTAAGAATACATTTTGTAATAATTATATTTATTTTTGAAAGTATTATCTTATAAATAAAATGTTTCTTTTTTGTTCTAGTCACAAACACCATCACAAAATAAATATTATATATAATTTGTATTGAGACTTAAATTATATTATTTACATTAGGTATTTCATAATTTTAGACAAAATCAAACGTTATTGTTATTGCTACTGTTACTGATTTGTATACTTTATTAATATATCATTCATATTTATTATGGTGACAAAATGTTTTGTTAGTACTTTATTTGGTTTACCTATTCAAATTTAAAATAATCAAATATTACTATTCGGTTCAAGTATTCATTTTAATTTATCACCCAAAATCCTTGTTATTTAATTATTGGCATTTTTAAACATCTTTTAAAATTATGGGAACTTAAAAGCGATCTTACAAACATAATAACAATCAATTTATTGAGGTGGAGAAGTTTAAACGGGTTCTATAAGCTTCTGGCATTGCATGTGCTTTTGCTATTCCTGAATCCAGAGTATTCTGTTTTTTTAGAGTAATTGCATTTTTAGTATTTTTTATGCGGACCATACCATCATTTGTCTTGAGTTTTTATAGCATAGGTTTTTCTATAACAAAAGTTGTAACCCATCCGCAGACTTTAAACTCTGTTGATTGGTGACTTTCGAAAATCACAAGGGCAGCCTAGGCCTATGTGTGCTAGTATATTCTCATATAATTAAACTTATAATTTTGAATTTCTGAAGACATTCGTAAAAATCACGAAAAATTGCAAATTTTTTTTAGTTAGAAATTTAAAAAAAAAACATTTCATATCGAAGATATGAAAATTGACTAAGAGGTTCCTTATAAGTGACCTTCATCAAAAAAAAAATTCTACTGGAAAGTCAAATTAAATTCTTATAAGCACATGAAGTTAAAATTTTTACAACATTGGATATCCACTAGATTTTTCATGTAGTGATTTTCTTATTTTATTGTATTCAAAAACAAATAACTGTAGGTACAAGACTCTTCATATATTGTTGTAATAGTAGTTGTAAAATATAAGAAATACGTATGCGTTTATCATCATTGAAAATTCAAATTTTGACGAAAATTCTCAAATTGAAAAATGATTATGTAGTTCAAAATTAAAAAAAGGACCTTAAACTTTTATAGCTAAGGATTGAAAATTTAAAAAAAGGCCCTGCGTAAGTAGTTAATTCAGTAACCCCAAATCTAAAAATTAAACCTAAACACAGCTTTTTTATTGTTATTTTAAGTTCTAATTTAGACAAAATTACATATTAACTCAAAGAATAATGATTTTAGTCATTTTGTTGTAATTGGGTTCCAAGACTGCCCAATTTTACATAAGTACCCACCTATGTATATAATATTTTTCCAGCATCACCGATAATTTAAGAATTATTTCTATTATAAACTATAGAAAGTTTTGTATACATTTTCTAGCAGGTGGTTAAAAAATAAGATTTAGTATTTCAGTGGAATACCAATAGGTATATATTATATTAAAGTGGAGATAACAAAGTTGAATAATAATTTAAGTAACGAAAAAAAAATTGAATACGTGATTATTGTTATAATAGTTTTGATGGACGGATTTGTGCTTAATCGTGCCTATTAAATTAATAAGCAAATTAATAATATTATTAGAATTATAATCTTTTATAATACAATACCAATTCACATTTCACATTACACAAATTCGAGTTTATCAACTATTCGGCGGTTATCAATCAAAAAAATTACATGCTAACATTTCTTATTTTTATGATAACGAAACGATTACAACAGTGACTGTCATATTCTTATCTAATAGTATTATTAATATTATTAATTTATTAATTACTCAACTAGGTATATTAAAACAGAATATAATATTAATATTATATTATGCAACAATATCGCTTCTATGATTATATGAAAGTATGACATCAAGTGTTCTATATTCTGTCATAATGTTTGTAGCAGACGTTCCTAGATCTTAACATCCTCAACTGCTGAATACTTGAATGAATTAACTCTGGATTTGTGTATGATTGTGAATACATTAGTTATTACAATTAAGTAAAAGCTTGTTCATCAACCAGCAGTATAATAACTATAAGAAAATGTTTTCGAAGCACAAGCTATTGACCAACTCCTATTTAGTTGAAAAAGTGAGTGCTGTTGTCTTTGTTCAATAATTTAATCCTTATAAAAATAACAAAAATATTAAAGACATTTAATACATTTGAGTAACTACATTCTTGCAAGTAATGGATGATTTTATTTTAAATATTGCATGGTTCTTAGAATATTTTGTTTACACAACATGAAAATATAGATAGTAGATACTATTAGGGTTATTAATGCTCATATTAATGATTATGAACTATAGTTTATTGAATTAATGAACTAAAATCAATTACATTTTTTAACCATTGTATTTTACTTTTGTATGTACCAATGTATTACATGAAAACAAAACAAATTAGATAAAAAGGCTGAAGTTTATTAATACTTTTTAGTTTTACTTTATTATTTTAATTATTTTTAAAAATAGATAAATTATGAATATGATTTTCAAAGTTGTAAAAATTATTCTATATTTATAGAATCCAAACTAGACAACTTTTCTATGCTTTGATAAAAACAAAAACTTTGAACTTCAATTTTGTATAGAATTTTAAGTGCATATTTCTTAACTTTTACATATTTTTGGCACTTTTTTTTCCCCCTTGAAATGTGTGCAAACATATTTTGATGTGTAAAATGTAAAACTTGATGTATTCCAATAAATACAATTCTTGACACCAAATTCTGAAAGTTTCTTGAAAAGTACAGACATCATGCTGTATCTATTAAATGTATTTTGAGAAAAACTCATTGATGATTGCTACAAGAAAGGTAATTTTATTACAAGTGTCTATTTAGTGTTTACAATACAAGCAATGGAATGTTTAGCATCACAATTGTAATCACAGGAACTTTATTTTTATTTTTATTTTTTTTGCCATATTATTGTTATGGCCTAAGCCCTAAGGTAAAACCAATAATAAATTATTAATTTTTTCCAAATATCCACTAGGTATTTTTAATATTAATATACTATAATATCCTATAAAATTCTATTGTTTAACTAATAATTTATAAGTTGAACATTTTAAATTTTGTAACTATGTAAAACAATTTTTTTGATGTAATTTATGTGATTTAAATAAATTCTATATTTAAATATACTTATAGGTACCCAAATTAAAAAATAACTATATGTTTTTGTGATTGTATGTTATTTATATTAATTTATACAATTTTTCTTATAGGTAATATTAAAAAACACAGATTCAGCAATTAAAATGTTGGCACAAATAAGGTAAATTTTACAACTAGTATGGTTTGTTTGATTAATTTAAATTCTTAAACATACCTACTATTATTTATTATTTATGGTATTTATTACAATTTATTAAGGTAACTTCTACCAGTGTCTATTGTATCAAATAGATAATCTATTTAAATTGCCAATTATTACCATCCATAACAATAAATTATGATAAGCTCTAGTTATAGCATATACGTGTCGTTTGCTATCTACCAAGAAAATCATATATTCATATCTACAAAAATCTACAAACTAACCGGCTCAATGCCTATTGGTTCACAGTTGTCCTATTTTAAATGGCCTGTTTGTTAACAGTTCATATTTTTTTTTATTTACAAAAATGTTTTTTTTATATCTTGTAAAAACATTCAAAAACATTTTTTTCATTGACGTATCTCCACCATTCTAGGTGTATATTCTAGTATACATTCTAGTCATATCTCCGTTTACATCACGCTTTCGGCTTTTTTTTAAAGTTTCTTTTATTTCACCATTACATTGCTCTCCAATAGAATTTAACTTTGTACACAGTTATGTATTAGGATATAACTCACATTCTTTTAAAAATTGTAAACAAGTTTTGCCTATAAAAATAATTTTTCTATGTATAATATATAGAAATATAATATCGATACCGTCAAATGGATTACGGTAGATAACGTAGGTACTTCTAGAATGTAGATAGCATATGACACCGACAATTTGTTGGTAGATAGCATACGACACGTGTGCCAAACTCTTAAAGACTGTATAGAGATATATTATACTATTATAAAAGTAACAAATACCTACTTTCAGAGTTAAAATTTTGAATTCAATATGTATTTTAATATTTTATAAATTTTAATTTAGTTATTTTATATTTTGAACATATATAGTTTATTTATAGCCTTATGTAAATAATTCTTAAGGCAAACCCAGGGTTACACCTCTATGTTATTTATAGTGATTGGTATTACTTTAATTAAATAACTAACTAATTATTCTCAATTATGTAAGTGCGTCCATTAAAAGTCAGATCCAACAGTTTTTAATTAATCAGATACAAACAAATATAATTTTTTTTTAATTTAGGTAATTCTAATATTAAATGATTTATATTTAATTTTTTAGATATCGATCTGAT